TAAAAAAAAAAAAAGTGGAATTTTTTCTTTCTCCGAAGAAAGTCCTTTAAGCCTGTGGGTTCTAAATTACAAATTTAGTTGTAAGAACATGTGGCACTTCTAAACAAGTATATGGATAAAAATAATTCATCCTGCTTTATTGAGGGCAAACTTAGATCAGTAAATTATCATTCTGGACTTGCCACCTTCTTTCCTCTTTAATAAAATGTGTACGTTTTCTATAAGAGCATTTATATAGACATTAAGAGTTGTATATGTATACATAAACGGAATGATTTGAGAGATACCTATCTCCAGAAAGCAATTTGAGCAATCTGTGTTGTTGCTGAAGTTCATGAAGATGGTTTTTTTTTTTTCATGAAAACAAATCTTCATTAAAGACATGTTAACAGTCAGATTGCTCACAGCAAATATTGCAGAGAGAAAGTTCCCGACCTTCTATCCACATTGGGGATTTATGTTGAAGAGCAGTTCTCCAAGACAAATTGGTATTTGGAAATGTTATAGGGATAAGATTTTTGGAATTGTTTTGGGGGGGCGGGGAAGCAATAATATAAGGACTAGGAAACATTATTGACATGGAGAGAGTGGCAACCAGGGATGATAAACACCCTCTACAGCAAAGATGGTCTTTTGCAAAGAAGACTTGTCCCAGCCACAATGCTCATAATCCACCCTTGAGAACCACAATGAGGTGTGGCCGTAGCTAGGTGCCTACTGGAGCCGACAAAATAAAAATGGGTGCTGCTAAGGAAAAGGGTAGGATGAATGGCAGTGTCTCAACAGCATGACTTAGTCACCCAGCCCTAAGATGTGGTTCATGTTCAAGAAACCTATCAAAAGAGTAGGAATGCAGGAAAGGAAGGAAGTGAGGGGAGAGAAAGAAAGGAAGGAAGAACGAGAAGGAAGAGAATGAATCTGAATCATGGACACAACCCATTTTACTAGAAATTTCTCTGTTGAAAGAAGCACATCTATTTTAATTTATTTTGAGAGAGAGAATCCCAAGCAGGCTCCGCACTGTCAGTGCAGAGTCCAACGCGGGGCTTGAACCCACACTGTGAGATCATGACCTAAGCCGAAATCAAGATGACTGGCCACTCAACTGACTGAGCCACCCAGGCACCCCCACCTCTTTTAAAAAAAAAAAAAAAATTAATGTTTATTTTTGAGAGCGAGAGAGGGAGCATGTGAGTGGGGGATGGGCAAAGGGAGAAGGAGACAGAAGATTCAAGCAGGCTCAGTGCTGTAGCTCACAACCTGATGTAGGGCTTGAACTCTCCAACCATGATATCAAGACTTGAGCTGAAATCACTTAACTGTCCGAGGCACCCAGGTGCCCCAGAAGCATATCTTGGTGGTCTCAATAGCTCCAAACCTCCATCTTGTTTAAAAAACAAAACTAATATGTTTAAGTCTTCCACCTTACCAAAAAAAAAAAAAAAAATCTAGACCATTCATTCAGCAAATATTTATTTATTCTTTCTTATAGGTTGCTATATGTTCTTGCTAATTCAATATTGAATGAAAACAGACATGGTCACCCCTCTTATGTAGCTCACTGTCTAAAGAGATATATCAGATTCAAGAGGTTTCATCTTTTTTTACAAAAATATTCCCATCTAGAAGACCAAGTAATATAAGAGATACTTCTTTTGCATTTAAGTGAAAATGAAGTTCTAGTACCACAAATATTAGGGCAAAAGCCATGGTCATGGCCAAGGACAAGGGGCCAGTAAGCAGCCTGACAGGACGAGATTTCTAGTTAAATGGCAGGGTATGTATAAATGTGTACTTTTTGAGCTCATTCTTTATAAGCTGAGTTAAAAGATAAAAACCTTTGCTACATAGTCCCAAGTGCTTTGAACTATAGTTTTAAAATGAATTCAGCTAAGCTTTCTTGTCGTCTCAGGTTTTAAAAGTGTTTGTTTTGCTTGGCAAGTAAAGCTATCCTCCCAATCAAATAATAGAATAAATTAAAACCAGGGAAATAGCAGGAGAGGCTCCATCTGAATGATCCAGTTTGGGTTTCTATAATGGTCAATTTTCCTAGATAATTGTCTATTTCTTTTTCTTTGTCTCTGCCCTAATGAAAGAGGATCTAGGGCCTTCCCTTCCACCTGTGTACCCTTTGTCCCATGGCCAAACCATTTAAAGATGGTCCTTGGTCAAATCATCAGGGTTTACAGGAACTACAACCAATCCAGAGAATGATTCTTACACAAGGAGTGTCATTGCAAACTGCAAAATAAAGAATCGCCTGGGTAATCCTTAAAAATATATATTGACAGTGAAGTCACATCCTTACTTGCCAATCTCCCCAGAGCAGGATGAATGTTTGCGTGTGAATGATTACCCTCCATTTCCCAGACAGGAGATGAGTTTGGTGCCCCAGAGATGCCTGTGCACTCAGTTAAAACTTCAGCTGTACTAAATCCCTAACTCAGCATTACAGAAAATAAGAAATGATCAGAAGATGTTGACTTTATGCTAAATTTATCAATCAAGTGAACTGAACTGTTTCCAAGAAAAAGTCACGCAATTTTTTTTTTCCCCTGCAAAATGTTCTTCAGATGTGGTCCTCAGAATGGTGGCTGCAGCCTCATTCAAAAAACTGGTGGGAATTGCAAATTCTTTTTTTGTTTTAATTTTTTTAATGTTTATTTTTGAGAACACAAGTGGGGGAGGGGCAGAGAGCGAAGGAGACACAGAATCCGAAGCAGGCTCCAGGCTCTGAGCTGTCAGCACAGAGCCTACCTGGGGCTCAAACTTATGAACTGTGAGATCCTGACCTGAGAAAGTCGGACTCTTAATGGACTGAGCCACCCAGGCCCCCCAGAATTGCAAATTCTTGTCCCCCACCTTAAATATCAGAATCTGTGGGGGTGAGGCCCATCAGTCAAGCCTTTCAAATGATTCTGATGCATCTTAAAGAGACATAGGCATAGATTGTGTTACAGAATATAAATGTGCTTAAGCTGAAAAGACACACTTGTGTTGTTACCAATCTATAACGAGGGAAGCCCTGAAAGAAAACAATAGAAAAATTCCGGTTTTTTCCTGTGGTTCCTACTCTAGTGACTAGACTTTGTCTCTGTAAAGTGATAAACAGATGTCTTGGCCCAAGAAAACCTGGCTCATGAAGCTCTGATAAAAGATCACTGGAAATACTTGCTATAAATCATTCATAACTCTTTGTTCTATCCAGAACCTCTAATAAAAGATCACAGGAAATATTTGCTACAAGTTTTGCACGACTATTAGCTCTAAGGGAATTTTTTTTTTTCAGCTAAACAGTTGTTTTCTGTCACGTGAGAAAAGTTGTTTTTTGTGTTTTGTTTTTAGGTAAGAAAGAAATGTCACTTCTCACTCTCGAAAAACACACATCTACAAACACAGATACACATCTGTCCATAGAGCGATACATGAGTAGATTCCATGTAGGGTAGGTCTCTCTTTAATGTTAAAATTAAAACTTAGTAGGTACAATATATTGCGGTGGATATGTAAATTTAAGTAATTAATGATACTTGTTTCCTTGCTAAAATTGAACTGTAAGTATAAATTTCAACCTGAGACATTCTGCCCAAGGGCCCTAGACATTTCATGGGTAACGAATGTCTTTTTCCACATGTCTGCTAGAAGTATGGAACCGTGGGATAGGTTTCCCGATCACCAGGATGATGCTGATAGCTGCTCAGAGTCTGTGAAGTTCGACGCCCGCTCCATGACAGCCTTGCTTCCTCTGAGTGAGTAGAAGGGTGGGGTGCCCATGGAGGTTGTGTCCTTGTAGTTAATGACACTACGTAAAACTACAGCCCTGGGATTTACCTTACTTGTGCATGAGTGTTAACATAAGACTTATTGGATGAGTAGATCTTCTCTTCTTTTGAGACAGACTGGAAACTAAGCTTAGGTTTGAGTAAGGAAGCTTTTTCACAGGTTAAATTAGTCCACAGGTTGATGGAGTCCTCTGATTTCTCAGCCCCTGGACTAGGTCCTGGCAATGACAATACCCTTTGCACCATTAATTAATATTTGAAAATCAGGGGTGGTATATACTTGTATTAGTTTCCTAGGGCTGCTGTAACCAATCACCAGAAATGGGGTGGCTTAAAATAATACTTATTCTCTCATAGTTCTGAAGACCAGAAATCTGAAGTCAAGATGTCAGCAGGCCATGCTCCTTTCAAGGCTCTAGGGAATAATCCTTCCCCACCTCTTGCTAGCTTCTATTTGCTTCTGCCAATTCTTAGTGTTCCTTGCCTTATAACTGCACCATTCTGGTCTCTGCTTCCATCTTCATTCACTTGGTCTTCTTCCTGTGAATTGATGTGTCATTTTCCTGTAAGGACACCATTCATTGGCTAAGGGCCCACCTTACTCCAGTATGACCTCATCTTAACTTGATTATACCTGCAAAGACCCCATTTCCAAATAAGGTCACATTCACAGGCAACTAGTGTTAAGTCTTCAACAGTAACTTTTGTGGGGGAAACAAGTCGGTGCACAACAGTACTGCACCATTTTTGCACAGGTTACAAGAGCTCAAAAGAATCCATATTCGGCTAGATCTGGACAGGCTCTCTTAAGGCAGGAGGACAGAGTTGTGTATGATTCTGCTGAGCTTCAAAGGTTGAATACATTTCACCAAAAGGATTGGGTGAGTGAAAAGGATCCACAGAGAAATCTGAGTCACTGGAAGGAGCATATGCAAGTGACAACATCTATGAGTTCTTCTATAGACAAACCTGAAATACAGACCACAACCCCAAGGCGCGACGGATACTGCACCAACAGTGGATGGGAGAACATGGCACCCATGAGGCAAAAGGAAAAAGACCCTAGTGAAAGCTGTTAAAGGTAGAAACGCAGAGAGATTGAGGAGGGAAGACAGAGGTATTGGAGACAGGAAAGACGACAGAAACTGGAGAGCTACTGAAAAGGCACAATGCAGAGGACTGATTGTAAATTGAACATAAGGGAGATGACTGGGTTTCAGGCTCATTCAACCTGACAAAGCGATCGCCCATCTTACCTGTATTGTGGGTTGTTCTTTTTCTTTTCCCTATGAAGAGATCTTTCTCTTCATAACTTTTTTTTTCGTATTTTTACTTTTAAAAATTTTCTCTAAGTTTCCTTTCAGTCGCTCATGGAACATTATCAAACAATAGCTAAACTTGAAAACAAAATATTTTTTATTGTGTAATGAAAACAGTAGCCTCAGGAAAGAATTTTTTAACAGACGTTTTATTCACTAATCAGAGAAAATGGCTTCATCTTCTAACATTCCCCTCTATATTGAGTTAACTTTTCCACAGTTAGTATCCCACTATGTGAATCGCTGTTCCAAGTAAATGGATAATATAAAAATATTAATATTTTCTGAAACACCCAGAGGATCAGCTTCATCGATCCATTCCAAAGTTTAGTCAAAATGTGAATAGTTTTATTTTTTTTTCTTTTTTAGTGTATTGAAATCAAGAGATCTCCAAATACCAAATTATTGAGATGAAATTGGAAAAGAAAATTTGCATAATTACCGTTGAAAACAGATGTCTTTTACCTGATTTAAACTCTGAAAAAAATGCATAATTATGTAATGACTTGAGAAATCTTATTTTTACCCAGAATCTATTCCCCAATGAACCAGAAGAATAGCATTTATGTTTGAGTATGTTGGTATCATTATTGAAATTTATCAACTAACTAGTGCCCCAATATGAGACAAGTACAAGTCGTGGAGGACACTAACTTTTGTCATAGATATTTAGTTAATGGGAAGTAAATCAGATGTTCATAGTGATACCTGTATTGGCCTATCCGGTCGATGACTGTTCGTTTTGCTTCCTAGTAAATACACAACGACCTACTTTTGCGTTTCCCTTTCATTCCAACAGGCTTGGTAGTAATGATAGAATTGGAGATTGCAAAATGTTAACTAAATAAGAAGAGTAAGTTTTCTAACAGTAGGTTGGGCTTTTGTTGTTTTAGATCCTAAAAATGGTCCTACCCTACAAGAGAAACTGAAGTCTCTCAAAGCTGCACTGATTGCCCTTTATCTCCTTGTGTTTGTAGTTCTCGTGCCTATCATCGGAATAATGGCAGGTACAGTATTCTAGAGTTTTGAAACTCAACAACGCATCTAGTTCTTGTAGAAACAAAAGAAAGCATTCAGTCTTTCACATATGGGAGATTCATAAGGGAAACATCATATGACAAAGTATTCCTCAAATTCATAAATAAAAAGATTCTTCAAAGTTATTAAGTAAAAAATATGAAATAGAGAATGGAAGATTAAGGTAAAATATAGATAGGTAGAGAGGAGATGGGATGGATTAGACAGTTTCAAAAAATAGGTTATCCTCTGGAGTTTTATGCACTTCAAGCAGTGGGGGCACACATTTTATGATCAGTATTCCAGGTGCCAAGGTGAAGATATAAACAGGATCGTTTACATGAACAGTGCCTAGAACAAAACAACAACAAAACAAGCCAGTTCGAGTGAAAGCTCTTTTGTTCATAGCATTGGGAGGAGAAAGAAATATTCCTGTAAGTCTTCAAAGGGAGTAGACCTTGTAAAATAATGGTCTACGCTTCAGTAAAATCTTTGTGGTTTATATGGTCACATGTTTCATAAGGCTATTATTTTAAATACTTCTAAAAATAACCTGATAGCATCCCTCAAACTACTTAGGAAGAATATTTTATAGGCACATGTTTCTTTGGCAAGTCTGACTTGAGTTGGGGATAGATTTGAGGGTTTCCACAGGGGTGGGTGGCCCGCTTATAACTGAGTCAGATCCGTAAAAATGACTCCCCTTGGTAGCCTTTTTGATGGATTTGATTGGCATTTGAACTTCTGTGCCTTGTGGCTGTCCTCATCTCTATGACTGGCAAAATGTCTGGATGTAGGCTCTAACAAGTGAGGAGTAAGATACATTTTTATGTGCATACTACTCAGCTTAACAAGAAAGTGCTCCTAACACAAGGCCAAACCTTCTTGGCTAAGGGGTAACCTAAAGGAATATTCTAGGACAGAGCCAAAATTTGCTAAGAAATGATGATAAAACCACAACGGTTGTGACAGTAGCTGTCATTTGGGGGCATTTACTACATTCGACGCACAGATTATCTTAATACACCTTTACAATTATCCTTGAGCAGACATACCATTATCGTCGTTATCCACAGAAGGAAACAGACTGTTGAGTAGTAGAACTGGAGTTCTTATCCATGATTCTTGACTCCTAACCTCTTATGGTCTACTATCTCCCAGTATAATTAAATATTTAGAACAAAATGTGTCTGGCCAATTAAACACACACACACACACAAACAGAACAGTCTCCATAATTCTAGCTGAGAAAATATTTCCACAGGTAAAAATTAATTAATTCCTATTTTGGCCATTAAAAACAAACAAAAACAAAAACAACCACAAGAAACTAAACTGACCAATCAAGTCAACCACAGCCATCTACATAAAAGGACCTAATATAGTATGTCTGTCATTAAACAACTGACTTCCTGATGAATTTAGATTATCTGTATGTTGATCATGTATATGCTTGTTCACTTAAAATGCACAATTGAAAGGTGCTTCATTGCTTGGAATAATTAGCTATAAGCCAGTTAGAATTTGGGTAAATTTCATCACTTTTATACAAACCATGGCCTGCAGAGTCAACGGCAGGTAGTGCAACTTCTGCCTAACAGGCATGTGCAGAATGGATCCATGAAGTCTGGAGAGAATTCAGTATTCTAACCAAGTTCAAAATCTTTGGGCGGTTCGAAAATACTACCAAGTTTCCACATTCATTTGTTGGGTTGAAATGACTGATCTAAAGTACTTTTGTTTCCTAAAACTAAACAGGCATCTGTAGGATTGACAAGAAGTTAAAAATATTCAAATCTCCTATGTTCACATTAGCATTCAAATTCACCAGAATTTGGACTAGATGTCACTATTTCTATCATACTTGAATAAACAATTGACAATCCATTTTCAACTTAAGTTACCGATCAGAATATTTTCCAAAAAATAAAAAACGCCCAAATGTAATACAGATCTCTACCTGAGACAAAATAATTACAAATAAGGGCAAAATATATTCCTAAAAGATAAAAATTACTCTGTTTTTGGCAAACAGGAATTGATGGATGAAATAAGATGTGCATAAAAACTCTTTTCAAATTGAAAATGTCTTACACAGTGGAAGATACTTTTAATGATAAAGTCTACTCCATATGCTATCATCTCTTAATGAAACTACCGGATCCCTGTCCTAGTACAATGAAGTAACATCTCTGGACAATAAAATACAATCTAGGATTAATGTATACATAATTGTTGCTGAAACACTGAAGATTCTTTAGTTCATAATAACACAAATTTTTGGCAGGAGAAGATATTAGCGACATGAAGGAGTAAATGTGATCTGTGAAATCAAATATCACTCTCTCCCTGGGGGTTTGCATAAGCCATAAAAGTTTGTCTCCTTTCAAATGTGAAACAGAAAAGTCACAAAATGCCATCTCCCCAGTGATAATGAAAGAAATGAACATTTGAAAATCTGAACTCTGACGTTCTTTACCTAGATTTATGATACAGAGTTAAACAGCTTTTTGAGAAGTTAGTTCGAAATTAGTTTTTATACAGGATTTGGGAAAACCAGCAGTGTTGTGTTTGTGAATCTATAAGCGAAATAAGCCTTTATTGTCAACTGTATGTTGAGCTCAATGTCAGATAGAAACCCTTGGTCGCATGATATTCTGTCAGCTCAAGTCTTCCTTTTCGGTACTGTGGGAAAGATTTGCTCTCTCCATATGAAATAGAAGTTATTTTCAGTGAGCGAAGAATTCCAGGGTTGAGCCTTAGATCACTGCGCTGAGTAAAATCAAGTGCAGAAAGTACAACGCTCATTGCAACGCCCCACCTTCCCCCCTGCCATGTTTTAATATTAAACGATATTAATTCCCCCATCGATACTTTCAGTATTGTACATACAGATACACAAGTCACAGATTTGGAATCCAAAATATTAATAACAAAAAAGCTCGAAGTTAACAAATGCTTGTTGTATGCCCAGAAATAGTGTAAGTACTTCACCTCTATTAGCTCATTTAATTCTGTGAACACTGACTGGTCGTGTCCTGTCACACAGGTAGTAAAATAGAAGCATTGACAGAGGATCTTGTCCAAGATCACAGATTAAAAAGAAAAGAGCAAGAGTTGCTAACCCAGGCCATTCTACTCCAGAAACTGGATTCTTAGCTGCTACCTAAAAAAGCAATAATCATCGTGAAATGAAAATTTTTAAGGGACGTCTTTGAAATAGTTTTGTAAAAATTGTTAGTTTGAGTCTCCATTACAGTCAAAATCCATTCCCGGTATTATCCTCCCAGAGTTGCTCAGATAATGCTTTATACGCAGCAGGTGCTTCATAAATAAACCAGAGAATTAAATGTATGAATGAGGCTGTTGGTCCAGAGCGTGCTCCCCACACTTAATGTAATAAATGCGATGAGATCCAACTAAAAAATACACTTTTTGTCCACTTTCTTGATAAATTAAGTATAAAATAACACACACTCTGTGGGATCTTGTCAAAATGTAGTGCAAGAGTTCATTCATTCAGATAAGCTAATTTTGAAGAGAGCATAATGAGGAAAATATGTGCTTTTTAAAATTGGGATTGGGGCACTTGGGTAGCTCAGTGGGTTTAGCGTCTGACTCTTAATTTTAGCTCAGGTTGATCCCAGGGTTGTGGGATCGAGCCTGGTGTTGGGCTGCACACTAAGCATGGAGCGTGCTTCATTAAGATTTTCTCTCTCCCTCTGCCCCTGTCCCCGCTTGTGCGTGCACGCTCTCTCTATATGTATATATATGTGTGTGTGTGTGTGTGTGTGTGTGTATA